AGAGAAAGATAAATAAAAATAAAAATAATCAATAAAAAAAATAAATTTTAATCATACATTTAATATTCGTAAAAGGAAGAAAGGAAAGAAAGATTGGAAAAAAATATTTTTTTTGGGAAAGTCTCCCAAAATGTCGTGTTTAATGAAAGATAAATTTTGAGATTTTATATAAGTAGTTTCTGTTTAAAAGTTAATACTTCAAAAACTTTTATAAAAATCTCTAGAAGTTATTAAAATTTAAATACCCCAAAACTTATAGAAACTTCTAAAAAGTCTCAATTAAATATATCATAACTTTTAGAAACTTTTTGAAAGTCTATAAAAGTTTCAATAGAATACATCGTGACTTTTAGAAACTTCTTAAAAGTCTATAAAAGTCTCAATTAAATATATCAATACTTTTAGAGAATTTTAAAAAGTCTACATTGAATACCCCTGAACTTTTTAAATCTCAAAATGTCATTAAAAGTTTCAATTGAATACACCCTCTTTATAGTTTTGTATAGAATTAATGAAAATCTTTCGTAGAGTCATATAGTCTCTCAATTTAAAAACTTTTATAAACTTTTGTAGAATTCACACTACTTTTGAAAATATTCATTTAAAATAGAATTAACTAAAATCCAGTGCAATCATATGGGAGGTGGAGGTTCCATCCGTCTACCCCATGTATTAAAATATAATTTTAAAAGTATAAAAAAGTTAAGTCACCTTGATTATGTTAAAAGAAATAAGGAATATCTAATGTTCAATATTATCAATATGTTGGCCTTTGAAAAGTAAATAACTAGCCAGTATAATTAAAATTTAATCATAAATTAGTTTTTTTATTATAAAAACTTATAAAATTTAATTACAAATTAATCTTTTATATAAAAATTTGAAATGAAAAAATATTACAAGAATTTTTTAATTATGATTTAATTTTATTTTTATAGAAAATTGAGAGAAATGACAAAAAAAGAGAAAAGAAAAAGAGAACAAATACAATAGGTAGAAGAAAAAATAAAATATTTTTAATCATTACTCTAAGGTTCTTAGAAGGGAAGAAGAAAGAGAAATACTGAAAAGACAAAAAATACATATTAGAAAAAAAAAATTCTATGAAAGTCTCCCATAATTTTGGGGTGATGAAATATAAATTTTGAAATTGTATTTTTGTACCCCTCTACTTAAATGTTATTACACTAGAGACTTTTGTAAAAATAAAAAAAAAGTCGTGGATATTTTGAATATCCCATAACTTATAGAGATTTCTGAAAATATTTACTGAATATTGAGACTTTTAAAAATATCAATATTTTAAAGTTTTTTAAAAAGCAATACTCATAAACTTTATATGTCTTTAATAATTTTAATTGAATATAACCCTTTTATTATCAATCAAAATACCAAAAAAATTGGTGGAATTAAATGTAATAAATTCTGAAAAATTGGTCTACTCTTTTGTAAACGTCCGCTTTTAATTCAGAAAATTGGCATTGTAGGCAGGGTTGTCAATAGTTTGGATTTTGATCTGAATTCGAAGAAATTAATGGAAGATAGATTTAGGGTCTTAATCCGATAACTTGATCGAGATCCAAATCCGAAAATTCATTAACTAAATGTATCAAATATGGATATAGGTCAATTCGATCCAATAATAACCCGATCTAATTTATTATAACAATATATTATATTTTTTATATTATCACATAATTTATGACATAGTTTTTTCCATTTTGAAAATTTTATTATACTTTATATGTAATTTCTAAATAATAAATACTATTATTTAATATTATAATATTTTTAATTGAAAATTTTGAAGATATTTAATTTTTTTATTAACTAAAATAAGATAAAAATAATAATTAATTTATTGATTAGATTTACTATAATAATCTGTTTTATAATATAAAAAACTAATAATTAATATGTCCAAAATAATTGACTTTGTTCAAATTGATATTATTTGTAATTAAAATCTTATTGAGGTTATGTTTTTTTAATGAAAATAATAAAGTAAACTAGTAAATACTTAGAATTGACAAATGATTATGATTAGTATCTCACATTGAAAGATCACTAAATCATTGAAAGAGAATAATTATTTAAAAAGCTAGTATCCCATATTAAAATATCATTAAAATATTTCAAGAGGAGTCTCCTTTAAAAAGGAGTTAAAAGGAGTATCACTTGGATAAAAAAAAGTGGAAATTACACAATACCCTACTTTTGAAAATCTCAATTCTTAAATCAGGTGAGGTGTTTCATCTTTCAAAAATCAGAAATATTTCCTTTGTCTCCAATCTCATTCTCTCTCCATCTACACGTTTTCTCTTTCTTCCACACAAATTTATTCTCTTTCCAGTCTCATTCTCTATCCATTATTTCTCTTGCCATTTTATCTCTCCCCCTTCTTCTTCTCTTAGATCACCTCCAATCTCCTTTTCTCTCCATTATTTCTCCTGCCATTTTCTCCCTCTCTCTTCGTCTTCTCTCAGATCGCCCTCCCCAACTACCCCAACTGAGAATGAGCTAATCAGCTAGAAATCTAAGATCAGAAATCAAATATGGCACCGAGCTAACCATTCACGGCATTGATCTGTGGCGATTGTGGATCTATGACGGAGTTCGTTGCAACGTTGCCGATCGATCTGTGGTGTTGCTGTGCAGCAGGGACTGTGGTGTTGGTGTGCGATGGCGACTGTGGTGGCGTTGACTTGGCGTCTTCGTCCATTATCTGTTTATAAATGATTCCAAATGATCTTTTTCCCCCTGATATGTAGCTTGGCAAGTCCAGGAGGAATGAAAATGTGGGGAGCATCGGGGTAGCTCTCTTCGCCGACCGATCTGCAAATTTGTGGAGGCGTGTGGTTTTGGCCAGAGTTTTGTTGGTTGCGATATGGGGAAAGTTTGGTCACGATCTGGTTGCTATCCAGTGGTAGATGTGGTGTTTGCGATGCTATGAGGTTCAGGTGGATTGGCGGTGGTCATGACGGTTTAGTTGGTGGTATTTTAGATTGTTTAGTTGATTTTGTGACAAATAATTTGACCCGTAACCTAAAAATTGGGATTCACAGTTGGTGGTTATGGTGGTCATGGCGGTAGTCGTGGCGGTTTGGTTGATTTGTGACTAATAATTGAATATGTGACCTGAAAATTATGATCGTGACTCACATTTGATGGAGTTGAAATTGAAACATTAATCGTGTCCAATTAATCAAATAATTTGCAATAAGTAAATAAGTTGTGACCAATAAAAATTTTGAATCTGTGATCGATGAATAATCTGTGGCCTATAAAAATTTGAATTCGTGACAATAATTTGCAATGAGTAAATAAGTTGTGACCAATAAAATTTTTGAATCTGTGATCGATGAATAATCTGTGGCCTATAAAAATTTGAATTCGTGACAAAAAATATTCTGTGATTTATAAAGTTTTCGATTTGTGATGAAGAAATAAGTTGCGACCAATAATTTGATAAGTTGTGACTAAAAACTAATCCATGACTAATTAAATAGCTAATTGTGACAAAAAAATTGTGACTTTGAAAATGGTGATGATTTTACGTCCGAAATATAGATATGAAAGAGTCCGATCACATAAGGAAATTGAAGCTTGATTTCAGGGAGTGATTGTAACGATTTCTCTCTCCTCAATCTCCCCGTCTCTCCTTCTATATGTATATGTAGGTTAGATTCTCTGAGATTTGCAAAATCAAACTATATTTCTTAAATTTGAATTGTATATTTCTTACCATCCGGGATATGGAATTTTCCCTAAAAGAAAATTGATTTGGACCTTCTAATATAATAAGTGAGTCCATCAAGATAGTTCATATATTTCATAAAATAAATAATTAATTAAAATTTTGTTGAGGCTATGATTTTTAATAAAATAAATAAATAATTTTTTTTTTCAATTTTGAATCGGGTTATCGGATCGGATATCCGATAATATAGTTAATCGGATATGAATTTAACATTCAAATATTCGTCGAATTATCGGATCGAATAATTATTTTTAACGGATCGGATCGAATTTGAGCAGATCCGATCCATTGACGAGGACTAAGGTAACAGTAGCATCATATCAAAAAGGATTAAGGTTTGTGGAATCCAACATGATTTTTCAGTGATGTAAATTGACTCGAGATTCTTTGTGTGGATCTCAAAGCAACTGTTAAAGAGTAGAATATTAATTACTAAGACCTTATTTAGTTCTACTAAAAAAATTATTAAAATTTAATTACAATCAATTTTAACCGCACATTTTTGAGAACTAACAACTTTTAAACCATATGCTTCATCATATATATATATATTTTTCAAAATTTACTAAAAATTTAATTTTTATCTAAATCAAACATCGACTAAATATGGATACAACAAACAACCTAAAATTAAAGAGAGATAATAAAAGGGCTATTGTAAGTTTTTTTTTTTTTTTTTTTTTTTTTTGCACATATAGCATGTTCCAGAGTTATTTATGTCCTTTTATTTTATGATCATTTTAGGAAATTATAAATTATTAAAAAATTCGGTGCAACAAAATTTTTTTTGGCGACAATAATATCCAAGGAAAAAAATAACATAAACCCAAGAAATTCCAAATGTACCCATTTATTTCTAATGTTATTCTTCGTCATTAATAAAAAAAAAAATTCACAAAAAAAAAAAAACACGATGTCAATCGAAAGGAATCGATCACTTTAATGATCTTGATTTTATGCGAATGGTTAACACCTACTGTGTCGAATATGACATTAATCAAGCTATTAGATTGTCTAATATAAAAAAAAAATTAAAGTAATTGGATAATAAAAATACTTCATTGGTCAATTTAAATTTTTTTTTCTTAAACTAAACTCTAGTGTGAAATTATCTCATTCCAAAATTCTCAATTGTGGGTTCAACGAAAATTAAGACAAACATCATAGGCATTTTAGTCAATGAATGTTTTCCAACGGCTAGTAAACCCTAGCCAGCATTTGATAAGTGGGATTTCAAACACACGAATCCCGAGGGACAATAGTATCGGACCCACCCACTCACTCTTCAGTTGCAGTGTGACCAGAAATCTCTCCCAAAATCTTGAACAAAAATTTCAAGAATTCTTCAATCCCATAACCCACCCACTCAAGGAATCTAGCAAGAATTCACCAGTTCCCTGTTTTTCAAAATCATGAATCTTAACATTTTCAAGAAAAAAACTTCACCCAAAGGTAAACCCTATTCTCTTTCTTTCATTTTTTCCTTTTCTGTGTTTTTTTAGTTGAAGAGTTAGAAAAGGTTGTACCTTTTCCCTTGGTTTATGAAAATCGAAGGAATGGTGGTTTTGCTGTACTTATTCGTATTTGGGGAACTCTCAATTTCATTTTCCTTGTTATGTCACCATATTTTTAGCGGATTTTAGGAGAATAAATTTACTTTCGTTCTTACCTTTACCAAGTTTCTCTCTCCAAAAATAAATTTTTCCATATGTGCGCTGCGGTGGTGTGGGCTTGGGGTAAATGTATTAGATGGATCAAAAGAATACGATTAATGAAAATTTGGTATTTAACAGATGCACTGCGGACCAGCAAACGGGAAATGGCGGTGGCCACCAGAGGTACTTCTAGCTTATTGCATTTATATATTGATTTGTCTGGTTCTGCGGTGGTGTGCCTACGAACTGCTTGTACCGTGAATAATTTTTCTTTAGATAGAATTTGGTTACTCATCCCCTCTCGCCTCCCCGCGCCCCCACAAAGGGGTTTTAAGGATAATTGCATAAGAGCATTTGAAAAAGTTTTTAGGATTTCAGTGATAGGTTGTTGTTGGTTCCGGTTTTGGACTTAAAAAAAGGCACCAAGAGCACAATGGTAAACAGGAAATACTTAAAGAACACAGATTTTTGGGCCGAATCCCACCAGAGGTTCAGTGATGGCTTCAAACACTCAATCCCCAATTGAGCATCCGTTAGGGTTACACTCGAATCCAATAGCACAATCTCAAATTATAAGGCAAAAGTTCGATAAAAGAAGATTTACAGAAATAATTAACCAATCTCTCAACAACTAGCACAAACTAATCCACTCACAGGGAGGGGTCTAATGCCATCATAAATTCACAGCAATCATCCTCTATGCAAGAATTTTACTTAGAAATTATAGAGAATCGAAGGAAGACGGTGAACAGTAGATAGAGAGAAAAACGAGAAATCTGAAAGCTGCTAGGGTTTCCACTCTAACCCTAACGAGAGTAAAGCTCTCAATTTACATGAGATAGTCCCAAAACCTGCATTCAACAGCCAGCAACACGACATGTCATTCATTAAGTAAAATCAAGATTAGTTAATAAAAAGTGTTTCAATAATGTGTTTTATCAATTTACAGAAGCTTTATTTGGATCAAGCACAACTGGGCCGGATTACGCATATAGGTCATTGGACCATCATCAATTAATTTTGGGCTCAACAATTTCAACAACGTAAATTATCCTTCACAATCTTCACATTTGCTACGATTTGAGACCATGCCAGAGTGGATTTGAGATGAACCAGCATAACTTCATATGGTCTCTTGTTACAAAATCGAAAGATAATTAGTAATTTTCAAGGTTCAAGAGGCTTAAAGAATCCTTGAATTTATTGAAATGTATCATCTTTGCACCTGCATTTGTTGGAATAATCTTATTTGGAATTTTAACTAACTTTATATCACCTCTTTCAGTTACATCTCTAGTAAAATGATGTACAAAACTTCACCTCATTTTCTATAAAATCTAATTCATGTAACTAATCTTTCTAGCAGTTTTTCTTCGACAACTTTAGTAGCATGCTAGCAGCTATATATTGTGCCTCAGTGGAAGATAAAGCAACTAATTTCTGAAGTTGTGAATAGCATGTTCCATTTATACAAATACATATGTTGAAGTAGATTTTCTATTATCTGAGTTTCCAATAAAGTCAGATTTACATATCCTCTCAACTTAAGTCCATTTTTATCTGTTTTGACTATCAATCCTAAGTGATGTGTTCCTTTAAGATACTTAATCAAAATTTTCATTGCTTTCCAATGAAATACTCATAAATCTATTCAATACATTAACAACATATGTGATATCAAGTACACTGAAATCCAAAACATATATAAAAGATCGAACAGTATTAGCATAAGGTATATTTACCACTGTATTAATTTCATCTACAATTTTAGGTGATTATTCAACACATAGTTTGATATAATCTAATAGTTTCATATAGTCGGATAAATGGGAGACGAATAGCTTTAGAATCATGAAGTGAAAATTTTCTAATAACCTTTCCTACACAATACTTGTGTTAAAAATAGTTTTCCATTGATTCTATCCTTTTTCTTTCCATTCCTAATATCTCTCTAGCAGGACCTAAATATTTCATTTCAAATTTCGATTTTAACTTTTATTTTATAAAATTAAGTATAGGGGAATTAAGTACATTATTATGTCAAACCAAAAGCATATCATCCATTTATAAACGTGAAAAAAAAAATAGAATTTTTATCTATCTTATAATAGAAACAGAGATCGTATCACTTTTCTGTCATGGTTCCCATTGCAAGATATGGGGCTTGAATCCTTTATTTACAAGTTTTGCTTTACATCTCATTTTGCTTTATATCTCATATCATCTTCTTTCAGCTCAGTCTTTAATTTTAGAAACCCATTTGCAATTTGTAAGTTTGCTGTCCATAGGATTTTCCACTAAGTTCCAAGTCTAATTTTTTATTTAGTGAGTTCATTTATTCTTGCATTTCTACAAGCCATTTAAAGGATTCTTTACTGGAGATAGCTTCTTCATAAGAATCATGTTCTAATGTAAGAGGATTAGATATTATGCATATTGATATATAGAAGGTCTTACTTGCCTTCTGTTTTAATTCTGAAAATTTTAAACATGATCTAATCGGATATAAATTGAGGTTCTGTTTGAGGTTGCTCCACCACACAGTGGTGTAATTCAGGTTTTGATCATTCAAATTAATTTATGTTATAACAAAATCTTTTTTATCTAATTTTTCTCTTGTTTTATCACTAAGGCAAGGAAAAGTTTCTTCACTAAATATAACAAATCTGGTTATCATGACTTTTAAAGCCTTTAGACTTTTATATCAATAAATTGGTATCCTTTTAACCCCTTCCTCATAACCAAGAAAAACACATTTTATGAATTTGGGATCTAATTTTATTCGGTCTAATGTGCATATGCAACACGTCCAAAGGTTTTAAGGTAAGAATAGTCAGGAACTAATCATGTCCAAACTTGTTCTGGTATTTTATAATCCAAGGCACCAGAGGGGCTCCTACTTATCAGATAATATGCAATTTTGGCAACCTTCCACCAAAATAATTTTGGTCCAGAACTGATGAGCATATGGTCATTTCTAGAATGGTCCTATTCATTCTTTCAATAATTCCATTTTGTTGGGGTGTGCAGGTCACACTTCTGTGCCTTAAAATACTATATTTGTTGGAATACTAATCAAATTCAATAATGCAGAACTCAATGCCATTGTCTATTCTTAATATTTTTATTTCCTGACCTGTTTGATTTTTTATTAGAGTATTCCAATATCTGGAGGTTGCAAAAGTTTCTCACTTTTGACTTTGATTTTAATAAGAAAATCCATACTTTTCTTGAAATATCGTTAATGATAAGAAGATAATATTTGCATCCTGATACGGTAGTGACATGTATAGGGCCCGACCCCACAGGTCACTGTGAGAATACTTCTAATGACTTGTGTATACCAGTTTATAATTGGTGATCTATTTTGTTTATCCAAAATACATGTTCACAAAAGTTTAAATTTCGAACAGTCTTTCCCAAATAATACTCCTTCTGAAAGAAGTTTTAAGCTTTATTAACTTAGATGACCTAACCTCTTAGGCCATAGATCTAATTATTAGATTGGATCACTAACTTCATGGCTTTTTCGGTGGAATAACATCAAAATTCACTACATAGATTCCATTAATTTTGGGTGCACTGTCAATGACTATCTGATTTTTCTTAATATTAGTATACCCATTTTTATTATCTCTTTTGTTGACTCTAAAAATACGCCAACAGAATCCCAACCTCGTTTTCTCCACTTACATATCAATTGTACATTGAACACTTCGTTGAAGGCAAAGATCGTCGATCGAGAAAAAGGTTCGACGACTGTTTGCACTTTGACGGTCAAGTCAACTGGACAAAAATAGGGAGTGCAAGAGAGGGTGAAAGGGGTTTGGTTACGGTTAGAAAACATACCTTTGATCTCTATAGCACGAACACTTTAATTAGGGTAGCTTGTCCGTGTCGGGCACATGTCGGTACTGACACTCTATAATAATCATTTTTCTTTCTTACTATAGCTATTATATATTTTTAACTCAAAATTATTAGTAAATAACAAATAAATACTCATATTTAAAAAATTTCAACAAAAAAATTACTAATAAGTATAAAACTAAGTTTATACTATATAAATGAAATTTTTTAAAGAATTTATTCGTGTTAGTACTTTTTTGAAAATCAAGAGTCGACATATCCGACACGTATCGTGAATGAAACTCACATATTTAGGGGAAAATGTAAATGGGCCAAGTATTGCTAATGGGTCGAGTTCCAAGCCCAAGACGAAGCTTCTTGATTTAATAGGCCCAATCAAATTAAATGGTCGATGCCACGTCATTCAATGTGGGACCCCCTCCGTCATACGTATGCCACATAATTTATAGGTATAACAATAATCCCCTAAGTTTTAGTTGTACATTCATGTGTGGGTTGAACTTCGAAATATAAGTAGTCAATTAGGTGAGGCTTTACAGATTGGCTCAGAAATATGAGCAACTCCATTATGAGGACTTCCGAACTGCCTCAAAAATAATATATGTATGAGCTTGATTAAGTGAGGCTTATAGATTGCCTTAAAAGATAGATATCATATATGATTTGTCAAAATTTCGGCAACATTTTCTTTGTAATATGAACTAAACCAACCTATAATACCATACAATATTTCCATTGCAAATGTACAATATAAATTAGGATCCACTTACCCCTCAAACTACTCACGACGATAAAGTAAGTAATGACATATCACATTTCTTTAAGATATAATGTGTAGAGGTCTATCACACATCATAGTAAATCATATTCTTGCACAACTCAGTATAACAGTAGTGCTATAGTGAAGTAACATGCTGACGGTAATAAAATGTAAAAATAATGTTATGACATACTAACAATGATGTGACATGCGTACTTGGCAGCAATGATGTGGCATGCTTACTTGGCAGCGATAATGTTCTGCATATACTAGTAGTAATAATGTAATGATACTAAAATAGTATCACAATAATAGTCCCCCAAGTTTGAGTCAAATATTAATGTAGATCGGACTTGACAAATAAGTCAATGTGATGAAGCTGATGCAAAGGCGAGACTTCGAATGTAAGTAGTAGAGGCGATGCTCTGGAGGTATAAGTAGCAGAGGCAGTGCTCTGGACGTATAAGCAGTAGAGGCGATGCTCTGAACATAAGTAGCTGTGAGAAGCTAACATCCTTACATGAGGGTGGCGCATTTGTGTTTAAGGCTTCCTTCATGGTGTTTGATCTAGCCATGAAAAGGATTAACTTCTAAGGGAGCAAGGTGTGGCTCCATGTGAGAGGCATCGCACTTGTCCTTATCGAGCCCTGTTTTGTTTTTTAACTCCTTGCAAAAGAGATGACTCCTTCGTGCAAGTGTTCTCTTTATGAAGCGGTAAATGACATCATTGTATGGTGGATGGTTCATCCCTCTAGGGCTTCCTGCAATCAATGCAGAGGCATGATGAGCTCTCTTGAATATTAATGCATCTGTAATGCAACAACTCATATGGTGAGGCATCATGAGAAGCGAGGAATGAATATCGAGCTGGTAGATCGTCTCAAACTATTGTCTTATAAGCTAACTTCGGATAGACGAGGCCGTGTAGCTAAGCTCGACGATAGTGATGGGCAAAGAATAAGCATTTGGGGAGGTTGGAAATAACATCCTGCGAATAGCTCTCAAACTATCTGAGTCTTATAAGCGACCTTGCATAGACAAAGGCTTACAGCTAAGCTCAACGATAATGAGATGCAAGGAATAATTATTTTGCAAAGTAAGGAATAAGTATCTGACAAGGCGAGGAATAGACATCCCTCAAATAACTCTCGAACTATTGGAGTCTTATAAGCGACCTCGGATAAACAAGTGCTTAGGGCTAAACTTGAAGACAGTGAGAGGCGAGAAATAAACATTTCACAAAGTCAAGAATAAGTATCTGGGGAGGTGGGGAATAAACATCTCGCGAATAGTTCTCGATGGCCTTGGATAGACGAGGGCGTAAAGTCAGGAATAAACATTTCACAAAGCCAGGAATAAACATGGCAAGGCAGAGAATAAACATTCCACTAATAGCTCTCGTACTAGCAAAGTCTTATAAGCGAGGAATAAACATTTTACAAAGCCAGAAATAAGCATCTGGCAAGGTGGGAAATAATTATTCTGCTAATAGCTCTCGAACTATTGGAGTGTTATAAGCTGGCCTTGAATTGACGAGGTCTTATAGCTAAGCTTGATGATAGTAAGAGGCGAGGAATAAACATCTTGCGAATAAGACCAGGAATGACTCATTTTACAAGGGCAAATGCTTCAAGATTGCACCTCTTCCTTTATTTAAGATACTGCCTCTTCCTTTATTCAAGAAACAAGGACTCCAAAAGATGTCGCATCTTTCTTTATTCAAGGAATGAGGACTACAAGATGCCACATTTGATAATTAAAAATTCAGCTAAGTATTTCATCTACATTTGCCATGCATTCTTGCAACCTTGAATTGTCTACTATCTGTTTTCTTGTTAAGTACAGAAATTAGAACAAAGGTCATCCTCTAAATAGGATCAAGTCGATCCAGAAACAGAAACTCATTCTCTATTCTCCATATTTGCCAATTTTATTCCAGGAAAAATTGCAAGTTGGAAAAATATAAACAACCTTTTTCTTTGAAGATTTGACCTTAGATACGGATCAATAATAAATAAAAAATCATTATTTTACTAAGGGTTGCAAGGTGCCGTTTGTTAATCACGTCTTGGAATGAACAAAACTTAATTGGGGCATTTTGTGCAGCAGTTGATGTGCATAATTATAATTCATAATTTTTTAGAATGTTTTGCACGTGTTCCAAATCAAAAAAAGTAAAATTTAATCAATATTTACCTGCCCATGTACCTCTGAACATATCTACTGTCGTCAAATTCAGTGCATATGTAGAGGAAGAAAATTTGGATCCACCTTGTAGAACTATGACAGATGTCTTTTGAGGCATTTAGTTGGTGAACTTTCTCATTTAAAAACACCAGCCCAATCAAATATGGAGTCCATTGGTGGCAAATTGTTTCATGAAAATAAATTTGGGAATGGGAATAATGTCTACGAAACCCATTGAAATCAATTGGATCAAAGAGAAGCAATAGGCATAGCCAAACTTATAAGGTTAGACAAGCTGAGAAGCAATGGGCCCAAATAGAATGAATCTCTTAGCTCAATTCATTATGCCACAAGGGAAGAGCCCAAAAGAATTATCGGAAGTGTATGAATTCGTTTTGACCAGAAATTGCATAGAAAAGATAGCACCTCAATGCGGCGGGAAACTGACATTGGAACACGTGAAAGTTCCATTTCGGAGTAAAAGGAATGCACCGCCAAGGTGTTATCTCCGTCAACATTAACATTAATTTGACATGTTTTCTGGAGAAAGCTTGACCCATGTCTTGCCATTCTTTATGATGAATGGTGGTTGCCGGATTCTCAAACTCAAAAAAAGTCGAACTTATAACAAGCTCAAACCAAGCCCAATATATTTTGGTAGATGTCATTGCAACAGTTGGAGGTGCTTTTATTGCCGCTACCCGTGACGGTGGCTACATCTTGGCCAAGGCTTTGTCATTGTCGTGTTACGTTGAAAGCTTCACAAACGGGTTCCATTTTTTAGAAAACAGCAAAAGGAATCGGAATCCATAGAATTTCTGGAGAATTTTTCATTGTATGACTGAAATTTTTTATGTGCCCTTTGCGTTTGGAAAAAACATAACACACCAGAAGAAAATTTCACCAATTTAGTTAAAAAAATCATCCTTTTGGTAGCCCAACACGTCTTTTTTTTTGGTTGTTATTTTGCACCACATTTGGGATGAATAATTGAAAACCAATTTGTAGATGGCTCAAGTTACCAAAATATTTTCAGCTCATTTTAACCATTTTCATGGCTGATCTCCTCCGCGTAAAAATTTCTCTTTCCCAATTCTTTCAATGGCATTTTTCTTCTTTTTAGTTGATGGCAGATTATTTTTGTTTGCCAATAACTCTTTTCCATGTATGAAATATGGTCGATTTCTTTGATCCTTTGTCGAAATTGCCTTTTTTTTCATATTTTTCTTTTTGGCTGACTTCTTTATTTTGGCCGAGATAGAACTGCCCGGAAAATTTTCTTTTTTCAGTCGATTTTTTCCTTTTTCAGGGAAAACTCATTTCTGGTTTCATTTTCTTCAAAATCCCCATTTTGCTTCTGAAGAGGTTTTTTCGTTCTCTTCCTAATAGAATATTTTCCTTAATTTATTGAGGCTATTTCCAAGTTCACAGTTGGGATGACTCGTTAAAAAACTAGTTGGAAGGATGCTTCAAGCTGCCAAAATTTTTTTGCTTCCATTGACCATTTTCATGGCGAATATCGTCAGTAGAAAATTTCCTTTTTCCCATTTTTGTTTGCTGCAACCATTTTCATGGTGGATTTTTCAACCCTTTTGCTTTCCAGTGGCTCAATTTCCTTCATTCTTGGTGGCTGACATTGCTGTTTTCCAATAGAAACTGACTGGAAAATTCTTCATTTTCCAGTGACCTTTTGTATGTGGTAGAACATGTTAAAATACCGTTCCCATAGACGGCGCCAATGTTGACCCAAACAAATGCACCAATAGAATTACGACTTCATTCCTTCCACTTAGACATCACCTGCACATTGAACACCCCTGTAGAAGTCAAAGGCCTCTGGTCGAGAAAAAGCTCCGACGACCATTTGCACAATGACGATCAAGTCAACGGCCGGATAAAAATAGATAAGAGTGCAAGAGAGGGTGAAAGGGGTTTGGCTTGGTTAGAAAATGTACCTTTGATTGTGTATGAAACTCACATATATATAGGAAAATCTAAATGGGCCAAATGTTGCTAATGGGCCGAGTTCAAAGCTCAAGACAATGCTTCTTGATTTAATTGGCCCAATCAAATTAAATAATCAATGCCAGGTCGGCCGATGTGGGACCCCTTCCGTCATGTGTATGCTACGTACTTTATAGATATAACATCTTTAATAATCTTCATCATCTAAAACTCCTAGAAATATTAGATTTCTTCTTAGAGCGGGAACATGTCTAATTTTCTCCAAAGTAATTTTATGGCTCAGCCTTAGAACAATTTTGCCAATGCCCTAAACTTGGCAGCGTTTGTTGTTCCCCAACTTAACAAGTCCCCCATTTAGATTGGAGTAATAAAAAAACTATTCCTTATTGGGACTCGTATGAAATAAGCAGCCTGAATGAAGAATCCAATCTTGATCATGTTCTTCCTTTGAAGAGAGAGAGGTCAAAGCAATGTAAACTTAGTTAAAGTCTTTGATAAATACACGTGGATGGACCATCACAGTCATGCAGTAGGCAGTGGCATTTTGAACTTTTTTATCTCTTTCATTCAAATTTTCAACTCTAGTAACATAGAGGGCTTTCCTCAACGAGATTGACGATTGTTCTCTCAACCATGACTAAACAAATAATGAATCGATCAAGGAGTTATTAACCTTTTCCTGTCCGAAAATAGATTTGTGCGTCACCATCGAATAGGAATATAAACTCCTAAAAATTTTCAAATATGTAATACGTACTGCCTGCTTTATCCCTCCGTAACTTCCTGCTTTAATTTTTTATTCACACATTGATTCTGTACCATCGCAGGCATTGAACGGGAGATTGCATCTTTACAAATGGAGGTATGCTGTTTGATGTTCTATTCATACTAATGCCCCCAACATCTACCAGTTAATGGACTTGTTTATATACTTTCATGAGAAAGTCACTTCTATCTTCATATTTCAGGAGAATAAATTAGTTGCAGAGATTAAGAAAACGGCTAAAACTGGAAATGAGGTAAGTCTTGATGAATATTTTTTTGTTTATTTAGAATATATGTAATGCACTGTACAAGTGATATGGGACTAGTTGTATTATGAGAATCTAGAAACAATGTTGAGTTCAGCATATAATTGCTGAGTAAAGGCTCGACTTTTCTGGTTTCCTGTATTATGTGTCCTATAGTGCGCCTTTTTTCAATCTGTAAGGCCATGTTCATCAATACTTCAGAAATTAAAAGCTCAACTTTAACCTTTCCACACCCAAAGAACTCCATCAAGAGTGATGTTAAGAGTCAGATTTTGATTTCTGTGTTCCTTGGATGGAGACAGGGAATAGGGTCCTGTGGTTTTAGTTTTGGATGGCTTGTCTTTCCTACCTGATGCTATATGATTAGATCTATTTCTGGGTGTACTTTTTTCCCTACCTCTTAACATATCATTTTAGTTCTGCAGTTTAGATAATTGTACAAACTTTTGTGCCTTCAAAACAGCTGATTTGAATATTTAATTTCAGTAACCAACTAATTTTTTGTCAAACAGGCTGCCACCAGAATTTTAGCTCGTCAACTAGTTCGTCTGCGGCAGCAAATAACAAATTTGCAAGGAAGTCGTGCCCAGATCAGAGGCGTGACAACTCATACACAGGTCACTTCATATTGACATGCGGCTTTGGAACAAATATACGGGTTTTAGAAAAAAGATTTAAATCATCTGTATATCTGATGCTTCTTTTCCACCTTTTAATCGTAGTTTGCTACTTTAATAGGCCTTATATGCCAGCACTTCAATTTCAACGGGAATGAAAGGTGCAACCAAAGCAATGTCTGCCATGAACAAGGTATACATTTGAAGCATTACATTATACATATATGTTCAGCTTTGTTGTTTAATCAATGTTCATTGCCCTACCTATTTGAGGTCTGAAAGTCATTACAGTTATTCATGAATAATCTTCTGATCTTTCTAATTTGGTCAGTTGATGACTGACGTAGTTATATAGTTCTGGTGTAGCATTTAGACTGAATATGGTTTAATGCTTAATATTTTTCGGCTAGATGAAGAAGCCCTGCAAGTTTAGTAGGGCTGCTGCTACTTGTGATGGGATAGAGAATACAAACTAGATTTCTGTTGGCTAGTCAATAATTTTTTTTTTTTTTTTCACGTCTTATTTCAGCAAATGGCACCTGCGAAACAAGCTAAAGTGATCAAAGAGTTCCAGACACAGTCATCACAGATGGACATGACGGTAAACTTCATTGCCTAAAAATCATTTCTTTTCAATATGGAAACTCGTTTGTGAAGTAATTTTTTTTTTTTTTTTACAAGCAGTAGTTATGTATAAAAGCCCATGGAGTGTACTAATATGACTTTCTATTTAGATTGAAATGATGTCAGAAGCTATTGATGAGACATTGGACAAAGATGAGGCTGAAGAAGAAACAGAAGAACTTACTAATCAGGTGCTGAATCATGATAATCCTTTTGTGTTTTCTTTAAAAACGTTGAACTCTACGACGGTCGTAAATTCATTGTATTTCCTTGTAGGTGCTCGATGAGATTGGTGTTGACATTGCATCACAGGTTGGTTCCGCGAGTTTTATTAAGCCAATAATATTTTTCTGTCGAATTATGTTAATATGATGTACAAAAGAAAAGGAAAGCGTAAGGAAAAACGAATCTGATCGTCCTGCCCTGTTTCTCTTGACAGTTATCCTCGGCACCGAAAGGTCGGATTGCATCAAAGAAAGTTGAAAATAATGTTGTCCCTAGGTATGTTTAGTATTTTTTGCTTGCCTTAGAGAAAAGATTACTGATTTATAACTTGTTAATGTTCGTTCTTGTGACGACTTTTCAGTTCTGCTTCTGCTGATGTTGAGGACCTCGAAAAAAGGCTGGCATCTCTTCGACGAATATGAGATTGAAAAGAAACAACGAGGTTCTCTTCTTAGTTCTGCTAATGCTCTGTCATTGATCTTCCACAGATATGGATGGCCAAGAAATCATGGAGCATTGGAACACTTCTCTTATAAAATATATGTATATCAAGTGTTTGAATAGATTCATAAAAAAATTGTGAAAGCAAGAAGACTACAGTGTCTTTTGGAGCTGTTTAATCTTATCTAGTATTGTATATTAAGCGTATCAATGTTACCAGACATTTGTCTCATATTATTAACTAAATTTTTATAAGCTGCTTCTAATTAACCATATTTATAATTTATAATGAGGACTGCCAGAGTAAAAAGGTCATTTACAAATGATAATCAATTTGTAACACTCGCCTTAATGACTATTTACATTATAATTACCTCGTTAAAAATTATGTTTGATAAAAATTCAGAAGGACAAAAATATAAAACGAAGGAAAAAGTACGAAAATTAAGTCATTAGAACATTATAAAAAGCAGTACAACTACTCCTTTGATTTCAAATAATGAAGATATTTATATCAAGCAATTCATATCTTGTACTCTAATAATTTTAATGTCACAATCTAGATGAAGTATGTTTAACGTTGTCTTGTTACAACATTCAAGCAATATCATCTCGTACAAAATATTTTTCAGTAATTGGTGACTTAAGTTAGCATGATAGTTTGGTGAACAATACATTTTGTTGTTCCTCTCTTTAGAATACTAGAGTAAAATCATAAAGTTATATTGACGTTAAATGTTTAGCAAGTTATGAACATTCATTACACACACAAAATCTTTGGTTAAAACTTGCTAAGAAAACCTTATTGGAAAAAATATAGTAAAAGAAAAATAGTACATCATTTTTTTGAATCCACTATGAAATTTTCTAATTAAAAATCTTGTTAGGAAAACTCAACGAGACAATCTCGATCAAGGAAAAAATACAACTCGTATTTACTCTCCATAACAATCATATTAATCAAATTGTAAGTTTCAGGCATATTACATCCTTTAGGGATATGATTTGTTATGCAAATGAGTTGACAATAATTACATTTATTATACACATTTGAAATATCACATATTGCCACGATAACACAATATAGACTTTTTATTGCATCGACAACATGATAACTTTTTTATTTACACATTGCAAAGTTCATTATGTTAGTAGTCGTGCATTATGTATTATGACTTTATTTTTCTCATTTTCTTTTTGCACGGGTATAAATATTTAGGTGCTCATATTGCAGATCTAGAAACTTCAGGTTTCTCTAGTAAGTTCAATTTTTGATAAAATGTCGTCCTTGTATTTGATCAGCTACTTCTACCTTCAATATCCTCATTATAAATTCACAATATGAAACGTTACATTATCTACAAAAGTGTTGTTAAAAAAAAAAAAAATCTTTTTCGATTCCATTTGTCTTGTATAATGACACAACTTAATAATATATCTCAATTTTTCTTATTTTAGGTACTTGAATTTCTTCTGAAGTTTTACAACTTGTTATGTTTATATGCACAATAAAAGTATATTCCTCTTCAATCGGGCATTTTTACTATTTGCTTTATTTCGTTTTAAAGATTTTTATATTAGAATTGAATTTCATCACACTTCAGACCTATGATAGATTTACCAAATATACTATTAACAAATTGTCCTTCTAGAATGTCAATTTGGAACATTTTATAAGATATTGTTAATATCTTTGATTTGTGTGAGAATTTAAAAATGATTACGATGCATCGTGTTTGTTATTTTTAACTTCTTAATTCCTCCACCTAATATTGAGAAATCTGTGCAATCAAAATATCAGTCGACAGATTGCATTATAAAATATCGCCCGAAAGTTTATAATATTTTATTAGAATTCAATATATTCTCAGCAATCTTTAATGCTCATCTTAGTACACATTGGTGGAATGATTGTACGTATATTTAATTATCAAAATCATTGGATGGAAAACATTAGACTTTGACATAAGCCACTGCATGAGAAAACTTTGATGTTGATAAATTCAAGTGTTGCTACATATAAAATAGGGAGCACTTTGTTCATAATAATAGCATTAACAAGACACGTCGTTTTAATTGTATAACTTGAAATTTGAACATGTAATCTTGTAAACTTCAAGTTATGAATGTATTGTAACGCTATGCAATCATCTTATATGTACTTATTAGATACAAAGTATTTAGATTGTCGACATAAAGGGTGAGATCCTCCCTACGTCATTCTAATTAATTTTTAGAAATCAAGAAATTAGTCCCGATTATAGCTAATTATTGTGAACAATCAATTTCAGTACAAAGAATTAACATAATAAGCGGATTCATTCGATAAAATCATCTGAATCTCTAAGTAATTTTTTCCTCCAATTCTCATTTCGCCTTATTATTGATCCAGTAATGCTTTAAATGGTCATACCATATAAAAGAACAAGAAAATAAGGAAAATCATGCCGTTGTTGTGAACTGTGACACATCGATGGGGTGAATGATGTGAATTATGTAATAATCCTATCAGGAAAAATGAGGCGATTGCTTGATGAGAATAACATTTTTGATTCTTCTAGTGTTGATTTTAATTGATTCCAAGATTACTGCAACCGCTGTATCATTTTTCTTCACTCCTTTATAATTTGTAGGCTTTTGATGTACTTTAATGTATATTCTTTTTAGGTTACTATCTTTATTGTGTCATTGATAAAAAAAAAAAAAGTTTTAATATATATATATTGAACTTGTAATAAATGATTTTTGTTTGCATACTAATGGTGTTTTTTATTGGTAAGATAAAAATTAAAACTTTTTTTTTTTTTTTATCAATGACACAATAAAGATAGTAACCTAAAAAGAATATACATTAAAGTACATCAAAAGCCTACAAATTATAAAAAAAAGGAAAAGGCGCTACTTAATTTCTCATTTAAAATTCTAGTGATCGAATGAAAATCATTCGAGACGTATTACTAAGAATTATCAAAGTTTTAATGAAGCAATTTCTAATAACAACTCGATTGACCATGCCAATATGATGTATTTGTTGGGAATCTACTTATACATGCACAGCGAAAAATTAAAATTATTTCGATTCCCACCGAGGATCTCTTTGTGTTTAGATAGAAATCGTGATAAAAATTGTACCTTTGACGAATTCTGCAAACCTTTTGCTTTTCTTTTAGTTCCAGCAATCTTGATTCGCCATCCACAGCTGTCCAATTGTATAGCCTCCAACAGTGATCCACACAGAGAATAAGATTGCAGCTACCAGGGTTTTCTCTCTTGTGCCAGCAAGAATAATGAAAATCATATGGACCTCAAATTCTAGTCATGTATTTATATAAATCCAAACGGGCTCGGCCCGATCCGGTTCAATATTTAATTAATCCATTTAATTAAACTCGGTCTGTGAATTAATTAATCCAATTAATTAATCCGGGAATATAAATAACAAATCCAATTAATTAATTTATCCAACGATTGTTAAATTAATCATTTGGCAATTTATAATCTTCCAATTCTCTTTTGTGTGCGACCCATTAGGTTCCCGACCACAATGCCTAACGACGTGAAATATTATTTTGATCTAATCAAAATTGATAAATTAAAACACCCTTTTAATTTATCGTCAATTCACACTCGCCGTCCCTGATTGACATCTAGCAATGTGTCAGGGCAATACATGTGATGAGAAATGTCATGTGGTGTGACAAAATCAAACTCGTTTGTTTACCTTGAAACTATAATCCCTTCGTCAATATGATCCGATCAATTATAAGATATGGAAGTGTGTCAATCTCGATCATCGATCATATCTTTCACTCCACTATTAAGTCAATATAAGTCGAAAATTCCTTTTCGACTTATGAGTACACCTTGGCCAAAGACTTCATCATCGACTTAATTGAATAAAACGCAGATCATAATTTTCTACTATCTAAGAGTGACGAATCCTTTATTGATCAATCACAACTTTCATACGATTCTTAACGTACCTGAACGATGTCGTATTAGCGGCCCTTTGCAGAGCAACATCCAACACCACTAAAGTATGACTGTCCTCATATAAGGTACCATGACGACCTCAAGTCAAAGGACCAATTCCACTACCTAACGTTAGAGATTAATCACTGACACTTAGATAGTTATTCATGTGGAATCTCTCGACGAGTCTCCAATGTTTTGTTCTATAATAAAATATCCACGTGTTCATTTAAGTGTTACCACATTTTAGCTTGTGAGATCAGCTACTTATTTTACAAGTAAGAAATGTTATACGTGATGGTCTCTCCGTAATAATGATATCCGTATCTCTTTATTACTTACAATCATGGACGATTAAGATTCAATTAGATGTAATTTGTATCTCACAATCACAACTTTTGTGATTAACAAATTACGAAGATTTGAATCTACGGACTCTATTATTTATTTAATTGTCTATTAATTAAATAATAGATCTGCCATTAAATTACATTAATTATATATCAAAAGTATTTATGTCCAAAGTTGATTGGACCTAGGATATAATACTTACAGTATTGAGCTATTCATCATTTTATGTGTTCATACACACGTTATGCATTTAATGTATTGGCTCCAAATATTCATCACAATGCAATGTCATATACCATTATTGACAAAGAATAAATATGACATCAAAGATAAGGAAAAAAAAACTCCATCATCAAATCAGGATCGACCTTTTCCTCATCATTATATATTTTTTTCTTTTTAAGAGAAAAAATTGTTTACTGATCAATTAGAAAACAAAGTTTGCATAATCATTTTGCGAGATTAAATCAAAAGATATTCTTCTAGAATATTTGTATATATAAATCTTGTTTCTTCAGGAATACCACTATATTTTTATAATTTTAATAAGGTATTTACACTACTAGAAAGGGAGGCAATAGAGATGAAATTTTAGCAACAAAAGTCTTCCGTTGCAATACCAATGGATTAATAACAAATTAACAACGAATTATTATTTTATCATTTTAAAAATTTATATAATAAATTACTAACAAAATTACCAATGAAAGTCTTCCGTTGGTAAAATTATGTTGCTAATCCATTGGTAAAATATAAAAATAAATAAATAAAATAATTTACAAACGAATTTTCCAACGAATGATTCTGTTTAAAACTATATAAAAGAATAAAATAATTACCAACGGAAAATTTTTGTTTGAAAAATTTTTAAATCTACCTTCCTTTTAAAAGAGGGGCTTTTAGGAACACTGTTAATTTATGTCACATGAGTT